GCCTCAAAATTAGCGTTTGATCGCCCTCCAGAGGGGAAGCGCAAGGTAACGTGATTCCAACCCTTTAATGAGGAGTCATTTTTGAGCGCCTCAAAATTAGCGTTTGATCGCCCTCCAGAGGGAAAGCGCAAGGTAACGGATTCGCAAGTTTAATGGCGGTGAATGTGATGCTGATGGGTGTGATGGTGCGGTTTTCTGGTTCAAAGGGTTGGAAGGGAAGAGAGCAGCCTGTGATCGTATGCTCCCCAAAAGGAAAGCACAAGATGCCGGTTATGAGTGTGAATGCGTGGTGATAGTGGTGTAACATGCTTGTAAACAGGTATTCCGGCAGTTAATAGTTCTGTTCTCTTTCTCTCTGTCTATCCTCACGCCTCCCCTTGGCAGGTGATTTTATCGACCAACATCGCTGAGACGAGTGTGACTATAGACGACGTGGTTTTTGTGGTGGACGGCGGCAAGTCCAAAGAGAAGTACTTTGAGCCGGCGAGGAACATCTCGTCCATGCGCGTGCAGTGGGCGTCCAAGGCCAGTGTCAAGCAGAGGCAGGGCAGAGCGGGGCGCGTGCGGCCGGGAAAATGCTTCCGCCTCTTCACTCGCACGGTGAGACCAGCTGATACCTTCCAAGCACGGTGGGGCCACTCACTCGCTCGCACAGTGAGATGCCACAATCTCGCACTGTGAGACGCCACTCACTCGCACAGTGCGACCACTGGTACTTTCCAACTCATTCTGTTGTGCTAGCACTTAAAAACTACAGCGAATTACTGGTGGCGGGAAAGTAATTCTCTGCATCGCTTCCGTTTACCCCTCTCCTTCCCCCCAAGCACAGGTGTATGAAGCCATGGCTCCAAACTCAGTCCCTGAGATGCAGCGAGTGCCCCTCGAAGAGATCTGCCTTCAGATCAAATCCTTTCCTAGCCACTGCCACCTCCGATCCCCCGTTTACTCACCCCGTTTACTCACCCCCGCTTACCCCTACCCCTCTCCTTCCCTCCAAGCACAGGTGTATGAAGCCATGGCTCCCAACTCAGTCCCTGAGATGCAGCGAGTGCCCTCGAAGAAATCTGCCTGCAGATCAAACCGCTCCCCCTCGCAGCTGCCGTCACCTCCCAAACCTACTCCTCCACCCCTCCTCCTCTCCCTTCCTCCTCCATCCCCTCCTCCTCCTCTGTCCATCGCAGCACAAACATCGGCCTCTTTCTCGCCAAGGCTCTCTCTCCCCCGGACCCCTTCGCAGTGCGCCACGCAATCGAGAATCTCCAGAGGCTAGGAGCTCTGGACGAAGACGAAGAGCTCACAGCCCTTGGATCGACGCTCAGCCGGCTCGCTGTGCACCCTCGGATCGGCAAGATGCTCGTCTACGGCTCCCTCCTGCACTGTCTTTCTCCTCTCCTCTCTGTCGCTGCGGCTGCTTCCCTCTCCCGCGACCCGTTCCTCGCACCGATCACCAACCGCAATGCCGCCGATGCTGCGCGCCGAGCCTTCGCGGCAGGTTCGGCAGCGGGGAGCGACCATCTAGCGGTGGTGATGGCCCATGAGGGGTGGATGAAGGCGAATATGGAAGGCCGGGCGATGGGATACTGCGATGAGAACTTCCTGGCACCTTCCGGCATGCGCCTGATGCTGGGTCTGAAATTGCAGATTGAGCGAATGTTATGGGGGCTGGGCTGGCCCGCTTGGGGGAGTCCCTTGATGCTGACCTGCCGCCTAAAACGCCTCAGGGGGTTACGTTGGGGCATGGGAAGGAGTCTGAAAATGGAAGAGGTAGGGGGTAGGGACGGTCTGGCAGTGGTGGTGGTAGCGATGGTGCCGGCGGTGCTGGTGCTGGTGCTGGTGCTGGTGCTGGCGCTGGTGGTGGCGTGGTGTTGGCGGTGGCGCATCTCCGCTTGCTGGTAGGCCTGACATCCGCCATGTGACTCGCATCGATGCTCGCTCCACCTCGACACAGGTGGTTGATGCCAGGGGTGCTGGTGGCAGCAGGGACAGCTGGAGGGACAGGGAGGACAGGGGCTCTGAAAGGGACAGGGATCGGATCGGGATCGGGATCGGGATCGGGATCGGATAGGGATAGGGATAGGGATAGGGATCGGGATCGGGATCGGGACAGGGATAGGGATCGAGAGGGAGAGGGAGAAGAACAGAGACAAGGAAAGGGAGAAGGAGAGTGAGAGTCGGCAGCGCAGGTCGCGGTGGGATGTGCGCGTGGCGGACGAGCGCATGGACGAGCAGCTAGACAGCCGAGAGTACAAAGCAACTGCGGCTCAATCCGAGCCCCAAATAGACGAGACTGATGAGTCCTCGCTCTTTATCGCCCGCTCGGTGCTAGTTGCCGGCCTCTCCCCCATATAGCCCGCTCCGATATGCTCCCAGAGGCCAGGGGCGGTGGTGCGGGCAGCAGCAGCAGTGGGAAGCAGAAAGTTCGGCTGAGGTTCGGATTCCGGACCTCGGAGGGCCGGGTGTGGATTCACCCGACGGGGGTGATACCACAGCAGGGCAAGGCATTGGACGATGGGGGGGTGCATTTTCTCACCTTCAACGAGCGTGTTCAGACATCTCAGGTGTTCATCCGAGGCTGCACGCTCATCCCAGCTCTTTCCATCGTCCTATTTGGGGGGCCGATTTACCTTGCTCCTGCCCCAGGCCCGTTTCTACCCCTGGGTGGGTCGTTCTCGTCTGGTAACCTGTACCCTGCTAGTGGTTATGGGTTTTCCTCCACGTCCTCCTCCCAGCCTGTGCTGCTCGTTGTGGACCGTTGGATCGAGTTCGTGGTGGATCGGCATGTGGGCGAGCTGCTTCTGCAGCTCAGAGCTGTGCTGGATTCTATTCTGGGGCGGTGGGTGGCGGGAGGGCCGCGGCCGGCCAATGAGAGGCGAGTGGTGGGGTGCGCAGTGCGGCTTCTGGAGCAAGCGGGGAGAGCAGCAGTGAAGGAGTTGGAAATTGCGGAGAAAAGCACTGCTGCTGCTGGTATGGGTGGTGTTAGGGCATCGGCTGGGGCTGCTGCTGCTGGAGGTCGAGTGATCGATGATGGTGATCGGTGGATGTCAGGAGGAGGTGATGCTGGTGGGGGCGATTGGAGGGGTGGAGGTGGTGGTGGTGGGGGGATTGGAGGAGTGGAGTGGTGGTGGTGGTCGCAATGAGCCGAGTCCTCATGGGTATAGACGTTCAAGTGGAGGTGGCAGTTGGGGTGGTGGAGGGTATGGGGATCGAGCCTCCAGGGATGCGACTGGGTACCATAGGTAGCTCATAGAATTTTGTTGCAGACATGGCATGTGCATGATATTTCACAGTACGAATTGCCTCTTGAGTTGCCCTTTATGTGTAGACATGGCATGCTAATGTTCGTCAAATTGTTCGGTTCGTGTAGCTTTGAAATTATGTAGCGTCTTTGTACTCTTAGCGAAACACTCATGCTACAGAAGCATCGCATCCCCAGTAAGAGCTTCTGACAGACCGCGGCGACAACAGAGCTTCCGCCGCGACAATTTCGAGGACTTCTGCTCCACCCTCCACCCTCCACCCTTCTTGCTACCACTCTGGCAGTTGTTTGTCTGCCTACGGGAGTCTCTCTGCCAAAGCGAATTTGGGATTGCCTGGTAGCTCCATCTCCCTTATCAGCGAAAATTGCATTTCTACGGGTCTCCCTCCGTCTGTCAGGCACTGATTCCGTGTCCGCGTTACAAAAAGGGACCGCGACTTAGCATGCTAAGGCGAGTTATAACTCGTGCTGGCAATTCCCGTAATTCGCGTCATGGTCACAACTGGTCAGGCACACGATTCAGGCGTGCCAGCAGAGACAGAGGCTAAGGCTCAGTGCGGTTTAGAATCTGTAGAGCAGGCTGCAACGCGGAACCATCAAGTACGGACAGCATGGACTCATCTGTTGATCTCAAGGCTACTAAGGCCACTTCTAGCGTACCAGCAGAGGCAGAGGCTAAGGCTCAGTGCGGTTTAGAATCTGTAGAGCAGGCTGCAAACGCGGAACCAGAAAGTAAGGATAGCAACGACGCCTCTGCCGACCTCAAGCTAAATTCGCATGGACTTGCCGTGGTATGCCTTCTATCCACCCAGAGCCCAAGCGACAGGGCCTTCTAGTTTCACATTCGCACAATCCGTTGTTGTTGTTTTTTTTTTTTTTTTTTTTTTTTGGTGCAAATGTGAAGCTAGCGTGGCTAACTACCATGCAGACCCTTCGTGCTTCCCTGACAGATTGCGACCGCAGCTGTCTTCCTGTCCGCGACGAGTCTCAATGCATCTGCGGCATCGGCTTCGGGAGCACCGCCTGAAACCGCTCAACCAGCATATTTCCTCCGAAGCAATGGCTCCGGACCAAGTGGCCGACACTCAGCCGTCTGACAAAAACCCTGAATTGCAGAAATTAGGTTTCCCTGCCTGGGAATCCGAGCGATTCCCCTTCAGACTCCTCCTCCTCGTCCTCCCCGTCCAGATTGTCGTCATGTGGTCTATTCCAGGTTGTGTGCGGACGAGCCAAGTGTGCGTGCGAGAGCTTCTTCTTCATTCCCGCTCAAGGCTCCTGGATCCTTCGCTGCAGATGCAAGGCGCGTAGCTTTCTGCTTCATCCCGCATTATGTGATATGCAAATGTTTTCTGGTTACGCATGCAGCCAGTTAGAGCTTGCTGACCATGTGACTTTCCTCCTGCTTGCAGTTGTTCGTCTTTTTTCCAACGAATTGTCTTGTTTTTCTTAATTCTGTCCGTCGTTCCTGCAGCACAAGCACGTGGAACATGACCCATCGTCCCACAGATGCACCCGGCCAAAGTGCTCATGCGACAAGTTCGACAGCCCATGGGTCGGTCAGCCTATTTGCGCATGTGCATAGAGCGATGATTGACTGCGCATGTCTCATCTTTTCAACTCTCTCACGTCGCCCTGTTTCTTTTCTGAACTTGGCGTCTTCTATTCTGAATCATCAGGTGTGCAACTGCAACCATCCATGGGCTCATCACACACAGCACACGAATGTGCTGACAAGACAGCAGATATTGAGACAACGGTAACTCTTGCATCGTAACACTTTCCGCAAGTAGGTTATTATTTGTCTCCCCATGCTAATGCTATCTAGTTCTTTCAGGATGGAGGACATGGCATCCCCAGCTCCAGAAGTGAACAATGTGGAGCATTGATGAGAGGGCTCCAGGCATGACGCTGGCAATTACTAACAACAACCCTTGTATCCAGGTTTCTATTCTTGAGGCACCTCAGAAACAGGCATGAGTGGCCACACTGACACACCCTTGTGCTCAGGTTTTTTTTACACAGTTGTCGGAATTCTTGAAGCCTGTGCGCATTTTCTCACTTGTTGATAGCTTCTTTGTGCAGAATGTAAGCCACGAAACTACTTATACCACACTGTGACTGGCAAGACATGGTTCAGCATCTTTGTGCTGATTATGACAATACTTTGCTCCCATAACATGGTAGCAGTAAGCAGTTTAGCTAAGCTGACAACACTTGCCAGAGGGATGTGGAATGCAGGCCAGGGAGTACTGACATGTACGTCCAGGAATCACACCACCAGGGTTGGCATCCCCCCAAGGTTGAGGTTATCATTGATCAACTACGGCTTTGCCAATGCAGGTGTTAATTCAAATACTCCCTGATGGCAGGCTGCAGGCAAGAAGGAACAGTGGGGGTTGTCTGTCACAACCATCAACACCAATTCGCCAGCCTTGACATTTGATTTCTCTATATGTGCACGCACAGCCTTCAACATGTGCTGTGCAGCTTGCACCACAGGCACAGCGACAGAAGCTTCACTGTACCCCTCAAGAAGCTTCTGCAAGACTCCTCCTGCCTAGTCACGGGCAGACAGGGAGAGGACGGGCAGAGAGGCCAAGGAAAGACGAGGACAAGGACGAGCCTGACGAACCAGCCTGCTGGACTCCCCAAGTCTCTGAAAGGAACGGGCTGCAGCTGCTCCTGCTACTGCTGCTTCCGCCCCCCTGGTGGGACCGGCCCTTCTGGTCCAACCAGCTTGCAGTGATGAGCCAGCCTGCTCTTTCTCTAGCAGAGTGAACTGCCCCCCACCCATCCCGAAACCCCCCTACTGCTGCTGCCGCCCAGGCCGCTGAGACCGGCTCTTCTGGTCCAGCCAGCTTGAGGTGCGGGAGTGCCGCCCACCACCATTTGCTGCGCCCCCTTTTCTCTCTCGGTGAGAGTGGCTTACCCTGCTGGAGGAACCCTCCCTGTATGCCTCCTCGCCTTCTCCATCGTCCTCATCTTCGTCATCTCGTCTACACACTCCGTCATAGTCTTCTTCTTCCTCCTCCCTTCTATACACTCTGTCCACCTCGTTCCCGCTGTACACCTCCCTATTTTCTCCATTGCTCCTCTCCCCATACTTCCGTGCACTCTCCTGACCCCTTTTCCCCCGTGACTGCTCCTTCCTATCACCACCTCTACTTCTGTACTGCTCGTCCCTTTCCTCCTCGTCTCTTCTGTGTATGTGCCGTCCTGTATCAGCCGCCCCACGCCGAAAATCCCCAGTGCTGCCGTACCCATACTTGCTGTCCCGGCTCTCTACTCTGCTACTTCGATCATAGCCCTCAACATCCCGCTCCCTCTCATTTTCCGGACCACTGGAATCCCACTCCTCCGATTCCCTATACCCACTTGAGCGATCTCCCCTCTTGTGATTCTCATTGTGATGATGTTTATCTTCTCTGTGACTGGTTTCCCTCAGTGAGTGATGGTGTCTCTCAGTCCTCCCTCTCTCCCTGACACGCTCGCTCCTACGAGAACCCTCGGACGAGTCACCACTCTCCACCCCTTCACTCTCCTTTTCTTCTCCACTCCACTCCTCACTATTCTCAAGAACGCTCCCTTTGTCACTGTCCTGATTATTACCCTCACCCCCTCCTCCTCACTCCCCTCTTGACTGTCCTGCAGCCGGCGCCGCTCTCCATCTCTTCCATTGCGCCCATCCCACCCACACTCCCTGTCTTCTCTCCCCATTCCCCGTGGGCGCTCTTGCTGCTTGGGAATTCTCCCTCGCGCATTCTCCTCCTCGCCCTCACTTCCACAGTCATGCCTGCTGCGACCGGCCTTAGTTCGGGCTCCCTTCCCCAGACCTGTGCCACACTCCCTGGACCACCTTCTCCGCCCATTCTCCACCACCTTTTCCCCACCCCCCCCATCTTCCCCCCTCTCCTCCTCGTCCACCTCCTCTTCCTTCTCATTAACACCACCATCCCTATATCGAACAATCTCCTCGTCCTCCTCCTCTATCTCCTCCTCTGCGTTTCCTTCACAGTCATCCTCCCTGTATCCAACCATCTCCTCCTCCTCCTCTGGCCTCCCTCCAGTCTGACGCCTCTCCCTGCCCCCTTTCACAGGGTGCAGGTGCTGCCTGCCCCATTCTTCCCCACCATCCTCCTCCTCCTCATCTCTCCACGCCACATGCAGCTGTGCCTCCTTATGCGTCCCCTTCTGCTGTTTCCTCTCCCACTGTTGCTGCTGCTGCTGCTGCTGCTGATAATGGAGCTCATACTGCTGCTCGTGCTGGCCTTGCTTCTTCTGCTGTTTCCCTGACAGTCTGCTCGCCCCAACGTGCCCACCAGAATCACCTGTCCTGTGCCGCTGCTTGCTCAGGTGACTGTTCAGTGACGAATGGTGCGACAAAGAGCCGGACGGAGCATGATGAGTGGGAGGCCGACCGGACCCGGCAGTAGACCCTGCAGCAGCAGAGGAGGTTGAGGGGCGGTCGGGGGGCCGCCGGCGCTCGGGTGTGGAGTGCGATCGCTCGAAGGCGCTGGGGGGAGGGTAGAGGTCTGAAAGCTCTTCTGGGTCACCAAAGGTGCGACTCCTGGAAAGGTGAGTGGATGAGGACGGGAAGGAAGCAGGGGAAACAGAGGGAAAACAGAGGGAAAACAGAGGGAAAACAGAGGGAAAACAGAGGGAAACCAGAGGGAAAACAGAGGGGAAACAGAGGGGAAACAGGGGGGAAACAGAGGGAAAACAGAGGGAAAACAGAGGGAAACAGAGGGAAAACAGAGGGAAAACAGAGGGAAAACAGAGGGAAAACAGAGGGAAAAGAGTGCCATTTGAGTCAGCAGAAAAGACAAGTGCTATCGCTCCAAGACGCTGTGGGGAGAATAGAGGTCTGAAAGCCCTTCTGGGTCACCAAACGTGCGACTCCTGGTAAGGCGATGGGGAGGGGGAGGGGGAGGGGTGGAGAACGGGGGTAAACGAGGGGACGGGATTTTACTTGAGTCGACTCAAAAGAGGAGTGGATGCGTTTAAAGTCGCTCCAGCCCTTGTCCAAACTGACCTGAGCTTCCTGTCATACTTGGGTCGTGCCCCACTCGCTCCTGCTTCCACACCTCGCCCTGCATCCACTCTGCCTGAGCCATAACCCTCCCCTTCCTCCTCTTCATCCTCCTCCACCCCTCTAACCGCCCCCTTGTCTCCCTGACCGCCCTTCCCCACCCGAGAAACACGAGTATGCGTCAATGTATGCGCCTGAACATTGTCCCCCTGCTTGCTGCTCCTCCCACTCGCGTCCCTCCCACTCGCCTCCCTCCCACTCCCTGCCTCACTCCACTCCCCAAACGAGCCCCCTCGCCCTTCCCCTGCCCGCCTTCCCAGACTCGCACTCAGACCCCCCCCCTCTCTGCTCAAACGCCCCGACCCTGTTCGCCCCCGAATATCCTCCCCTCCTTGCGCCTCCTCCCACCCCCCTCCTCCTCTCTCTCTTGCTGCTCTTTCTCTTGCTCCAATGTCTGCTGCACAGTCAGAAGCTACTCTCTCCACACCTCTGCGCACGTGCGGAAACCCACGCTGCAAGTGGGATTGGCTGGAGCCCGGGCTATAGTCTTGAATCTCTTGACAGTGAGGCTCCTGTTCCTGGTCCTGGTTGTGGTTGTGGTTGTGACTGTGGCTCTGGGTGCGAAAATGGCTTTGGTTGTTGGCGTGGCTGTGGCTGTAACTGTGGCTGCTGTGGCTGTTGCTGTGTTTGTGGCTGTAGCCGTTATTATACCCGTGGTTGTGGTTATGGCTGTAGCTGTAATTGCTTCTCCCAGGGGGAGTCAAATCCCCTGCATGCCTCCTACTAAACGCGTTCCCTGCTGGTGGGGTGAGGTCCCCCCTGCTGCCCCTACCAAACATGTTACCTGGAGGGGTGAGACTCCCACTGCCAGTAAACACATTGCCAGGGGGAGTCAGGCTCCCACTCCCACTCTTACCCAGTGAACGAGGGGGAGGGGTTAGGCTGCCGCTGCCACTTTTTCCCAATGCTCCAGGGGGGGGAGTGAGACTCCCACTCCCACTGCCACTGCTGCCATATCTGCTCAGGCTGCTCCTGCCTCTACTCCTCCCACCAAACGAGTGAGACAGCAGATGATGTCCCTCCCCGTCGTGCTCCTCAGTAGAACCTCCCCCGGGTGCACCTCCCCCAGCTACAGACTCCCGGTACTTGTCAAAGGAGAAGTAGGCAACGCGGGGAGTGACAGCAGCAGGGCTGGTAGCGGCATCAGGGGAATCAGCAGCACCAGCGGCAGTGGGAGTAGTAGCAGGAGCAGCACCAGCGCCCATGTGGCCGGAAAAGGACCCACTGCTGCCAGGGCGCATCCTGGACAGGCTCCTGCTGTGATTGGAGACGCCCTCCTCCCCTCTCAGGCGCTCCACTGCGCTGCCACTGCTCCTGCTGCGCAGATCACTGCTCTGAAACTCGTCGCTGTGCCTGCTCAAGTCCCCTTCCAGGGAATTGCACCTGACAGCAGACCCTGCTCTCTGCTGCTGCTGCTGCTGCTGCTGGTTGTGTTGATGTGAGGGGTCAACGTGCTGGTCGTCGGGTCCTGCCTGCTGATCCAGTAGCCCTTGCTGTATGTGTTCCTGTTGTCCCTTCAATCCTATGAGTGCCTCTCCCTCATGCTCGTGCGTTGAGAGCTGCTGCTGCTGCTGCTGCTGCTGCTGCTTATGAGCCTGGGCTTCAGCCGAGGTGAAGGTGACTGAGCGCAGAAACGAAGGCAAGCCGGAAAGCAGAGCAGAGTCTCCGCCAGATCCGAACGAGACCTGAGACTTCTGCCGTGCATGGTGCGATGCTACATGAGCAGAAGCATTCGCCACTCCCAAATTAGCAGCATTCATCGCTCCCTGCTGCTCCTGCTCCTGCCCATACCCATGCGCCTGAACCTTTGCCACTCCACCCGGCTCTCCTGCTTTTTGCTTAGAAGTCAAAATGCCCCATCCTGCGCCCCCTGCACCCCTGCCACTCTCCTCCCCCTTCTCCTTGAAAGCCCACCACTTCCCCTGCTTCCCCTCGCCCTTTCCCGGACCCTCCTTCCCCCCATCCTTGTGCGTATCACTAGCAGTTCTCGGCACTACCGTCTTGCTACTACTGCCTGTATCCTCCCGTTTGGCCAAGCCTGCCATGGGCCCAGTGACTCGCTTGGTGAGCCCAGCAATAATGGCTGAGGTGAAGGTTCGAGTGCGGTGAAAGTCGTCGTAGTCTGGTGTGTCCTCCTCGTCCCCCCCCTCCGCCATCATCCATGCGTTCTCCAGCGCTGCTTCTCTCTCCTCTGCTGCCCCGGCTGCTGCTGCCCCTGCTGCTGCTGCCCCTGCTGCTGCTCCTCCTGCTGCTCCTCCTGCTGCTCCTCCCCCCAGCAAGCTGCTACCGGTTGTACTTGCCCTCACTGGAAGGTCCCCTGCACTCTCTGCTTCCACTGTTTCCCCTCCTCCTCCGCCTCCTCCTCCTCCTCCTCCTTCTCTTGCTCCCCATCCTACCTCTCCTCCTCCCCCTCCGGTCTTTGCCACCTGCTCCAACTTGGCCAGCCTCTCCTCCCAGGCAGACGTCACTTCTGCCCCCACCCCCATCTCTCTACCTCCCCACAACCCTCCCATGCCCCCTCCATCCCCATCCCGATCCTCCATCCGTCTACTGTCCGTCCTAGCCCTCATCAGCAAGAACTGATCACCCGCTCTCGCAGCCACACCACTAGCCGCAGCTGCCACACTACCCACCACTGGACTACTCACAGCAGCACTAGCCAGCACTACAGCATCCACATCGATTCTCTCCCACCCGCCCTTATCCCCCTCCCCGTGGCTCCTTAGCGCATTCCACACCCCCCTCAGCGGACTCCCCGGCCGATCAAACCTTAACGGGCTACTCGGCCGGTCAATCCGCGCACTCCGGCTCTTATCTAAGAACCGGTTCGAACTGGGCCCACCAGGGGGGGTGCGAGGAGGGGTGTGGGTGGGGGTTTGGGAAGGGGAGCGGGGGGGGGTGCGCGGGGGGGTCTGGTTGGGGGAGCGGGGAGGGGTTTTGGAGCGGCGAAGCAGGCCGGAAAGCGGGCCGGAGAACGGGCTGCTGGGCCTGGAGGAGGAAGCTGGGGGGATGGACTCTCTATCTCTGCTCTGCTCCTCCTCAGTACTCGGGTCTAGAGCCAGCAGGGACGCTGCGTCGCGCGCCAGCCGTGCCATGGCGTCGCTGTCCACGTCAGCAAACGAGCCGATGTCCCGCTCTGCAATAGGCATTCGTTCGCGGCGTGAACCAAAGGGGCTGCTGACGCTGATGCTGCTGCTGCTGAGGCTGTTGCTGCTGCGCTGCTCTCTGACAGAAGACGAGTACATTAACCTACCCGGCTGCTGAAAGAGGGGAGTCTCCTGGGAGGTATAACTGGTCTCAAGCCCCAATGCCCCGTCCCATGAGTCATCTCTCAGCTCCACCTGGGTTACCGGGCCTCCAAGGCTTTGGCTGCCTCTGAAAAGCATCTCAGTGCGGAAGACACCGTTCATCTCGCTCTCTGCATCTGCCACTGATTGCCAGGGACTCGCACCCTCCTCTTGATTCTGCCTCTTCCTATCGCCACTCGCAACCCCTGATCCTCCTTCCCAGTTCCCCTTCCCCCCTCCCTCGTCTCGTCCTTCCCCAATGGTTACCCTCTCCCCCACATCAAACCCAAACCCCTCTCCCTCTTCCCCGGCTCCCCCCTCCTCCCGCAGCAACCCTTGAGCCAGGTCAAACACCCCACTCGCTCCATCTCCCTCATTCCCTTCCCCTTCCCCTTCCTCCTCCTCCTCCTCCTCCTCCACCTCCTCCTCCTCCTCCTCCTCCTCCTCCTCTTCTATTGCTCCCTCCCCGCCTTCCCACACGTCCGCTCCCCTGCCGTCTTTCAGGCTCACCCAGAACGCCTGAGAGGCTGCATCAGGGTTGAGGGAGGGGGCTCCTACCAGCACCCTTTCTTGAGGCGCCTCAAACGTTGCACCAGGGTTGAGGGAGGGGGCTCCTATCAGCATCCTTTGCTGAGGCTCCTCAAAGATTGCATCGGGGTTGAGGGAGGGGGCTCCCATCAGCACCCTCCTGCCCATCCCTCCGCCTCCTTCACCCTCACCTGGTTCTGGCTCTTGTGCTGACTCAAACGTTCCGTAAAAACCCCCTTCAAGCCAACCAGCACCTTCCACTCTCACACCTCCTTTGCCTGGGACGGGGCCCTGCATTTCGTCCTCATCGTCCTCAATGCCCTCATTGCCCTCATTCTCCTCCTCTTGCTCCACTTCCTCCTCGTCCTCCTCACCCTCCTCTTCCTCCTCTTCCTCCTCTTCTTCCTCATCTCCCTCATCTCTGCTCTGTGGCGCTAACCTGCTGCTCCAGCTGGGGTGATTTTCCTGATCCCCGGGTCCTCTTCCTGCCCAGCCGTGCCCCCTTAAGCTCATCTCAGCCCCTCTGGTTCCATCCTCGTTATTATCATCCTCTTCAATATCCTCCCACAGCCCCCTTCCCACAGCCACTTCCTCGCCCTCCTCGTCTTCTCCCTCGTCCTCCTCTCCCCCCTCTCCCCCCTCTTCCTCCTCCTCTTCCTCACTCTCCTCCTCACTGTTGACGCCCTCCTCTCCCTCCTCCTCGTCCTCCTCCTCCTCCTCCTCCTCCTCGTCCTCCTCCTCCTCCTCCACCCCACCTCTCCTGCCACCATCCCTTCTCTCCATGCTACTGGGTCTCAAGGAAGGCCGTAGGGACGACCTAGACGACCTCTCTCCATCACCTTCCAACGCTGCAGCTTCTCTTGCAGCTTCCCGCGCAGCTTCCTGTGCAGCTTCCCTTGAAGCGTCCCTTCCATCACCACCAACGCAGTCCCCCCCATCCGCACCAATGCAAGCGCCAGTATCTGCAGTCAACGCAGCAGCAGCAGAACCATCACGACTGCCTGCACGGCTACCTGAGAAGCTCCTACCAATCGACCATCGCCCCGACCCCCCTCCCCCTCCCAGCCGCTTCCCACCCACCCCTGCTCCGCTTCCTCCTGCTTTCCCCTCCCCATCTAATCTCCCCCCTTTCTGTTCCCTCGCGCCTGAGGAGCTCCTGAGAACGGACGCCCTCAGCGCAGCGCGGATAGACGCTGAAGCAGCAGCCATGGATTCCATCCCTCCACCAGAGAAGCTCCGCCCGATGTAGCTCCGCGCCTTGAGCCGCTCTGCTGCTGGCAGTCTACGCTGCGAGCCATCAGCAGGACGAGAACCATCGCTGTTCCCTCGCTCGTCGTGCCGGTCTTGTGCCGCGTGGGCCCTGGACGTGAAGCTTCCGGATCGGAGACCGTGCGTGAGCGTGGAAGCTTCCTCTGTGCGTTCCCTCCCTGCTGGATCGCGACCGTCTATTTGTTCGTAATCTCGAGGCATCAACGGTCCTGATTGCGAACCTCGTCCTTTGTACGTGATACTGCTTGAGGCTCGACCTTCTTCCGACACCCGCTCAACCCGCCTGTCAGGATATGCCTCTCCAGACCTGTCTCCAGGCCTGTCCCCGAGCCTGTCTGTGTACTTGTCCGAAGCTCCTGAGTAGCTTCGGCGCACCCTAGACTCTGAGGCCCCATCCCTTGAAGTCTCGCGTCCGGCAGAAAAATTCATAGATAACCGTCCACTACCGAACCTACCACTACCAACCCTATCACTGCCAAACCGCCCACTACCGACCTGACCACTACCAAACCGATCACTACCACACGAGCTTAGAGAATCATCCACTACATCCCCCATTCTACAAGAGCTCGACCTAGAGCTTATAGCGGGTCCTTCTGTAAAGCGGATCCTCATCTCCTCGTCCACCTCAGACGACCTAGGCTGCAGGCAAGAAACACCTGGCGACCCGAGGGAAACCAGACCGCCTCCTAGGGACTTGCGTCGCCGGTGCATAGTAGGCATGGAGCTAGCCCTACCGTACCGGCCCTCGCTCTCCTCCGCCTCCTCCTGCTGCAGCGCGCCGAGCGTTGCTGCGCTCGCGCTGGCTCCGCCTCTTGCTTCCCCGTGCGCCGCACCGTGAGCCCCGCCTTGAGGCCCGCCATGAGCCGCGCCTATAGCAGCTGCGTCTACGGAACGGTTCCGCGGCACAGGCGCGCGGGAGGGTGCAGGTGCGGCTGCTGCTGCTGCGGCGGCGGCGGAGGCTCTGGCCCGCGCGTGGCGTGGGATGTCGGTTTTCGCGCGCGCGTAGCCTCCGCTGCAGCTGAGGTCGACGGCGTCTTCTGCGACGGGCCCGCGCCTGAGGACTTCGCTACGCGACCGGTTACCTAATTCGCCACCGCGAATGTCGTCGTCGTCGTCGTCCAGGTCGCATCCGTCGCCATCGAGATTTAAATGGCCGAAGTAGCCGTTTTCGCGGAGATCCGGCGGCATTCCCGCGGAACAGAGGAACCGCGGACTAAGATTCGGCATCCATGATTTCTTTCCGCCTCCTCCGCCTCCTCCTCCGCCGCCCCGTAACGACGACGTCAGCACGCCTGCGACCGAACCGGAGAGAGGCGATTGCCTGCTCCCTCCGCCGCCGCCGCCGCCGCTGCCGCGGTGGCCGCTATTGTCGCATGGGCTGTTGTTTTGCGACTTCGGCTTAGGGACGGACGGGGGAAGTGTGAGATTGGAAGTGGTTGAACAGTCCATACTGTAACTGTGCTTATGCCGGCCCATTGCCCGGCTACTGCTAGGGTTAGAGTTAGGGTTGACCGTGCCAGTGGGTTTGTCGCTACTCACGGAATTGCGACCCATTTTGGGAATGCAGTCGTCGATTTGCGGGGTTCTGCGACTTGACAGCCAGTGAGACTACGGCTCAGGCATTAGGGACAGGGTTACATGATGAATGGCGTGAAAGAAGGACACACGGCCTGCGCGCGCGTGCGTGCAACCATGGTCTGGCAAGGCGAATATGAGGGCTAATTATGCCATGAGAAGCAAGGTGATTATGTGCATTCCTACTAGACACCGATCAATGGGTGTTGTTCCTGATTATTTATGTTCTGTGCTTGTGACTCGCTGCCGGGACGACTCGACTCGACTCCCTCCCCTTGGGTTCTGTCAGCCATGCGCAAGTTTGGTCCCAACCTAAGCGTACGTCTCAGTGCGGTTCGGTGTACAGTACCGTACATTGTTTTTCTTGCCCCGATGCCCCAGGGTCCTCGAAAAGGTGTTCGGTGGTTTGACCAAGAATTGGAAGATGCGGACATTGGACAGTTTCCGAGGGATCTTAGACAATTCGAAGGCGGGAATCAAAGTTCCAGTACTCTAGGGTGAAGGTGTCGAGAGGTGGTAGGAGCGACCAACACTACAGGTCCGTAAATACTGCCCCATCGTGGAGAGCAGCCCATCTCAGTGAAAGTCGACGGCGGAGCGTCAATGGCAACGGCGTAAGCTGACGGCCAGAGTTTGCCCAATACAGTAGAGCACGATTATGTTGGAGAACTCACTACTGTACCATCGGATGGTCAGTGTTCGCTCTTCTCAGCTCTCTCAAAGCAAACTGGCAATCCGTGTAACGACAACAGCGACCTGGTGGTGCAGTTGGTACTGTGGTGCGCGAGCTCCACCGTCAAGTCACGACAGACGGCCAGGCTGTCTTCCTGCTACGGAACCGAAAGCATACCGCAAATCGGAATTCGTTCATCCCAACACTTCCATTTTCGGATGAAGTGTATCAATCTACATTCCGAGTCAGACATCCTCCTTTTATCGTGTATTAGACTGCTGGGGCTAGACCAGGTCGAGGAATTCAGAAAGCGCATTTTGGCAGATTCGAGGACGCATACGCAGGATAGGAAGCTCCGAGGACGCATATGTAGGATAGGAGTCTCCACACACACCCTTTGTGACGTACCGCACTGTAACACTCTCTCCCTGGGGCTCGTCATTGCGTATACTACTTTGAACTCCCCCCCGCCTTCTAAGCAGTAAGAGACGGCAAGGGGAGAGGCGAGAGCAGTTGGGTGGGAGGCGCGAGAGTAGTGAGGAGGCGTGGCGAAGTGAAGGAGCCATGGTCGCGAGAGAGGTTCCATTGACTTGAGCGCTGTATTCGGTAGAGTGTTCGACGTGACAGCTGATTGTAGTTTTTTTTCAGGTTCTACCGAAGATGCCATGGCCGACAAAGAGGTTCGACTGGCGAGAGCGCTGGATTTGCTAGAGTTTTCAACTTGACGGCTGATTGCAGGATTTCTTAGAATCGTCGGACGGAGGAGGCATGGACGAGAGAGTGATTCGACTGGCGCGAGCCACGGGATGCCTCGTTCGGGTGCAGGGGCCCGTGAGTCATTCACTCGTCCGATTTGAATTGGTTTTTGAGAATTCTCAGAAACGAGTCCCTTAGCCGTGTCCTTACGTTCCTCAGCGATCCTTATTCTGTTCAGCTGTCTGTGCTTTTTGTGGCAATTTAATGGATGACCGCCAACATTTTTTGTGTCACCCCCAGTGGCGCATCCTCAGTTTGCTTATGTTGAGTGGAATTGCCTTGCGTTGACTGGCGTTGACTCGGGTTTACTTACTTTGACCCATGTTGACTGCAGGACCCCAAGGGTCGGAAGCTGCTGCGATATGACTTTTACCAGGCCAGGTAAGCAACAAGCGAGTGAGCGGCAGAGCCATCCGTGTCAGCGTCTGCCATTGGCGCTTGGAGGAATGCTGGATGGAGGCGACACTTGACTTGAAGCAATCTCCCCTCGCCCCGCTCCTCCCCTTTCAAACCAGCAGTGGCACGGCCTCTGTGACAGCGTCTGGCGTTCTGCTGCCCGGGGGAGTGGGCCTATGAAACATCTTCATCCCTCCCCTCCCGTCCACCTCCCTTCTTCTCCCCACCTCAACCAGCAACGGCACGACCTCGGTGTCAGCGTCTGGCGTTCTGCTGCCCGGGGCAATGCTGGACGCGGGCAGGCGATTAGACGAAGGTGCAGTGGAGGGAGGGGGGGGTGGGAGCGACGAGTGGGATGGAGAGGAGGTGACTGTGCTTGTGCCTGGCAAGATTCTTCGTTCCTTTGTGTTGCAGCAGCCGCTCAAGTACCAATCTGTGGCACAGCAGCGCTGGCAGCTTCAGCGGCAGCCGCAGCAGCGATGTCCCTTGGCTCCCCATCTGCTCCCTGGCACCCGCATCGACATTACCTTTGAGGTAACGCCACCACCTCAAAGGTTATGCATACCATGTGTGAGTTCCTTCTGTCTCTTCTAAGTGTGCGCACTTCAATAGCTCCGCATCGGCTCCCTGGCACATGCATTGACATTACCTTTGAGGCACTGGCTGGCACCACGCCAAGCCACGGATCCCATGTGGCTGGCACCACGCCAAGCCACGGATCCCATGTGGCTGGTACCACGCCAAGCCACGGATCCCAAGTGGCTGGCACCACGCCAAGCCGCGGATTCCATGTGGCTGGCACCACGCCAAGCCACGGATCCCATGTGGCTGGCACCACGCCAAGCCACGGATCCCATGTGGCTGGCACCACGCCAAGCCGCGGATTCCATGTGGCTGGCACCACGCCAAGCCACGGATCCCATGTGGCTGGGTGCATTCTTGTGGTTTCTCCCTGCGCTCCTCCTCCTTCCGCGCCCACCACTATCCGCATACTCCAGTTAAGCGCGAGGAGTCTGTGTTGAGGCGCCTCAAATATGCGCTCCTCCTCCTCCTGCAACCACTGCTATCCGCATTCTCCATCCATGCACCCTCTTCTTAACTTATCGAGCTCAATGCTGCTGTCACTCACTCCCCCCCCCCCCCCTCCCACCCACACCACTCCCCTCCCTTCCGCTTCTCTAACTCTACATTTTTCTGTCGTAATTTTTTTTTGTTCCCCTTTCAGTGTGCAACTGCTCCCGGATCGTCACTGCCATCCACGCTGCCTGCAGAGCTCCTTCGCTTTGTGAGTGATTAGCTGCAGAGCCTGTCAGTAGGGCCAGTGGAGGCAGGGCCTGTCAGTCAGTCGGTAAGCTGGTGACCGTCAGTGTGCAGCGCGCCACGGACCGTCACTGCCCTTCACGCTGCCTGCGGAGGGCCTTTGTTTTGTGAGTGCTCAACTTTATTGGAGCGAGAGCCTGTCTGTATTTTCGCACGTGCCTGTCAGTCTGTAACCGCTGCCAGGCCGTCACTACCCTTCACGCTGCATGCGGAGCGGCGTTGCATTGTGAGTGCTCAACCGTTGGTGGAGCGAGAGTCTGTCGGTAGGTAAGCAGGTGCCTGTCAGTTTGCAAACCCCCCACGGACTATCACTGCCCTTCACACTGCCTGTGGAGCAGCGTTGCTTCGTGAGTGCTCAACTTTTTTTGGAGCCGGAGCCTGGCAGTAGGTAAGAAGGTCCCTGCCAGCTTGCGACTGCTCCCGAACCGTCTCTATCCTTCACCCTGCCTGCGGAGCTTCGTTGCTTGGTGAGTGCTTGCCTTGTCTCCTGCGCTGCACCGATATCTGTTCCCGTTTGCCCTCTTCGTTGCGCTCCCCTCCACTTTGATTCGAAGCCCCTTCCGTTCCATCCAGGTTGCGTGTGATAGTAATTTCGTTTTAATTCCGTTCTAGACCCAAGACGAAATTACTATCACTTCATTCCATGATCCATCTAGGCTGCCCCTCAGTCAGTGCACCCTTCCCTATCCCACGCCCACCGCCCCGCCTTTTTTTTAGTCGACTGAAAAATTCCTCCTTTTCATCCAGGTTGCCCCTCAGTCAATGCAAACACACCCCTATCCCACCCACACCCACCCCCCGCTCTTTTTTTCTTTTGAGTCGACTCAAAAGCGCTCCTTTTTTCACTTAATTCTTCTCTCCTGCTCGCAGGTCGATCTTCCAACCGTCAATTCCGACCTTATGTCTCTGCAGACCCCTGCTGCACACTGTGCACCCGGCTCCTCCTCCGCCTCCTCCCTTTCCAACTCCTCCTGTCCCGCACCACCTACAGCAGCAGCAGCAGCAACAGCAGAACCAGTAGAATTTGCTGTGCTTCAAATCAGTTGTGGGCAGCAAATCGGTTCAACAGCAGCAGCACCACCACCAGCAAAAGCAGCGGCAGCAGCTGATGCTTTGAGGGGCATGGTGCATGAACAGCTAAGGTTGCGGCATGCGTTAAAGGTATGGATGCAAGCTGGAAACACTGCGCCTGACCTGCATTAAGTTAGTCATTTTCATTGTTGCGAGGTGACGTTTGAGTCGACTCAAAGGTCTCCTGCGCTGCATTAAGTTGGCCATTTTCATTGTTGCTTTTCTGCTCATTTCATAGTCTATTCTGCTCTGTTGACCCCTTTTTTTCTCATATCTAGCTGTACCACATAGCACAATTTGTCGTGTAATGTCGCATGCGTCATTCTAGCATATTATTCTACCACATTTCTTGAGAACACCACTTGGTGGTGGTTTTAGCCATACGTGGCAGCGGGCTTGTAGAACACTTTGTTTAGAGAAAAAATCTTGCTCTGAAAAATCTCTTGAAAACGTAGGGCAAAAATTGATGGTAACTAGTTTCGGCAGGTGGCTGCCTTCATCAGACCATACACAAAGAGTAAACGAGCAAGACTAAATAGGCAGAAGCTCGCGAGTATCCCAAGGCCAGAATGCAGCTCGAGGGAATTCTCAGAGTTTGAAACCTAGGCTAGAAAAAAAAATTAAAAAAATCGATTAAGTGTAGCTACACCTAACATTTTCTAGCTGAAACTAAAAAATCCCCTGTACGCTTCGGAAGCTTCCACGCGATAATAGCACGCCGATCTTCGAATGTCTCGTGTGACAATATCCGTAGGTGATTTTTGAGTCGACTCAAAAAAGATCCCAAGTGCGAACGGTCAACCAACGGGTTGAGCAGGCATTTCAGCACAAGGGGGCCACGAGTCGAAGTCTCTCGAAGAGAAGACGCGTGACGAAGGAGGGTAGTTCTGTCCAAAGGTGATTTTTGAGTCGACTCAAAAATATTATTCTACCACATTTCTTGGTGTCATTAATATTTCCTTGCAACTTGTTTAAAGCACACAATCTTATGTCCATCCCATCCTGCCTGCGGTGCCAGGTCAGCCCCCCATCCATCTCTGCCAATGACACGTCAACACCTGGCAGTCCTGTCCTGTTGCTTGGCTCCCCATTCGGAGTGCTGGCGCCCACTCTATTCGCCAACAGGTGATGCATTGTAAGGTAAGGAGTACGCAGCGCGGTGAGGGTATGAAGTATTTCTTCGTCGTAATTAATGAGTGGAAGTTACTGTATCTGTTATGTTTTATTCCATTTTCTTGGCCCTCGACCCACTTCTCCCTCTTTCTCCCTCTCTGATCTCCCCCCCCTGCCTCATCTCTCCGCCCTCTCACTCCCCTCATGCCAGCCTGTCATCGGGGATAGTGTCAGCAGTGTTACCTGCAGGGCTCCTGGCTCTCGATCTGCCCTTCCTGCCAGGTAGGTAGCAATCAGGGAGCGTGTGAGGGAGTATCTGAGGAGGAGAATCACATCAGGTAGCAAACGTCTCATGACGGAGTGTCAGCATAAAATCTGCGAGTTCCCGACCCTAGCAGCATCACATCACGTTTCTGGTCAGATTCCAAGTACCATTGCGGGATGATCTTCACAGGCGTCAAACAAATCATTCCTTGTGACATGACATGTCATCACATGGCATGGCATGGCATGGCATGGCATGGCATGGCATGGCATGGCATGGCATGGCATGGCATGGCATGGCATGGCATGACATGGCATGCAGGCATGGAGGGGGCACCAGTGTTTGATGCCTCTGGATCCATGAGGGCCATACTCTTGCCACCCATCATCACCATGAAGCATCCCCTCATGACGTCAGCAACCATCACTATCCCGGTCAGTCACACAATCCCACCTCATCCACCCCTCATCCTCTGGCTGATCCGCCTCCTTTTCCTTTTCCTTTCCCCCCTTGCCCATCTGAGATGTTCTTTTCCTTTCCCCCTCCTCTCCCATCTGTTCATCCCTCCTCCTTCCTCCTCAAAATAAGTGGCTGATGTGTACTCTCTTTTGAGGCGCCTCAAAAGTAGTTGATTCTGTACTCTCCACAAGAACTTCCCTTGACTCCCCTTCACTTTCCTTGACCCTTTCTGCTTTGCCCCTATTCGCTGCTCGTCTCTCCCCCCTTCCCTTCCCTTTCCCTTCAGGTTGCTGCCTCTGCCTCATTAATAGCATCTGCCATCCAATCAGTGGCCGCCACGTCATCCCACACCCACGACTCTGCAACCACCCAGCTACTATCCCAGCAGCCCCGGGTTTCAGCTCTTGAGGGCACACCCCTTCAAAAGATCAATCCTATGGTACCATTTCAAGCAGTCCACGGAGCACCTTCTGGTCTAGGTGCTACTATTGAGGCGCATAAAAACCTTGACTCGTGTGGTCTAGATTCTGAAATTGAAATGGTGCCTGCGGTGGGTTGTGGGGAGTCGCAGGGAATCGGAGGAATGGGGGGAGGGGGGATTGAGGGAGACGTTATAGGAGCAAGAGCAGGGGTAGGAGAAGGGGCAGCAGGAGGAGTGGTAGCGGCAGTGGCAGCAGCGCTACCATCGGTGGTGGGAGGAGGAGGAGAAGGAGAAGGAGAAGGAGAAGGAGAAGGAGAAGGAGAAGGAGAAGGAGAAGGAGAAGGAGAAGGAGAAGGAGAAGGAGAAGGAGAAGGAGAAGGAGAAGGAGAAGGAGAAGGAGAAGGAGAAGGAGAAGGAGAAGGAGAAGGAGAAGGAGAAGGAGAAGGAGAAGGAGAAGGAGAAGGAGAAGGAGAAGGAGAAATAATAGCACGAAGTGGTGGGGCAGGAGAGGGGACAGCAGGGGTAGTTAGAGCAGTGGCAGCGGCGCTACCATCAGTGGTCGGGATAGTGGTGGGCGGAACGGTGTGGGGTTCTGGAGTGATCATATCGCCCTCTGGACTCATACTCACCAATGCACACATCCTCACTCCCTTGCTCAAACACCACCAACCACGCCACGGAATCCACTCCACCTCCACGTCTTCTTCCCCCTCCCTCTCCTCTCCTCCCTCCACCTCTCCCCCCTCCTCCTCCTCTTCCTCCCTCTCCTCCTCGTCCCCTTTCGCATCCCCCTCATTGGACCTCCTCTCGTCTCCCCCATCACACGACATATGGGTCCGAGTTTCCTCTTCCTCCTCCTCCTCCTCACCCTCCTCCTCCCCACTCTCCTCCTCCTCACGTTCCTCATGGGTCCGTGCAGGCATCATTTACGTTTGCTCTGGCTCGCTGGATGTTGCCCTGCTGCACCTGCACCAGATGCCACCTGCAGCACCTCCAGACCACAGGCTGCACCTGCACCAGATGCCACCTGCTATTAGCACCAGCAAGCCTGAGAATCACCTGCACCACACAGAAACTTCACTTCGAGACCATAGCCTGCACCTGCACCAGATGCCACCTGTGCCGTGCAAACCCAGGCTGCAACCAATCACAGCCTCGGATCCTGATGAAGCAGCAGCAGCAGCAGCAGCAGTCCAACCACAGGAGGGTGTGGATGCCGCACAATCCAGCAGTCTGGTAGTCTCCCCCATCCGTCCGTGTGCAATGGTTCCTGAATGTGGATCAATGGCTGTGGTCATTGGCTATGCCGTCTTCCCTCCTGCGATTGGTAAGTGGTTTGCCTCTGTCTCGTTCCTCGAGGGTGCATGAATGGCCCACAGTTCAGCAGTCTATTAGTATTCCGCCCCATCCGTCCGTGTCCCTCGGTGCCTTAGTGTGGCTCAACAGCTGTGGTCATTGCCTATGCCGTCTTCCCTCCTGCCCTTGGTAAGTGGATTGTTCTCCAGCTGCAGCAGTCATGGGTCTGTCAGTTGGCATCTTGGGGAGTGCGCGTGCTTCCCATTAAGGCGCACGGTTTGTCCTCCGTGCTCTCCGTTGCCTTCACGTGTTATGGTGTTTTTTAGAATGATCAAAAACACGTTGCCCTCCCTTGCCTTCACGTGTCATGTGCTTGCTTGGATGCATTGGCGCATCACTGCGCAACGCTGCCAATAGTCTCACTCGAGTCGGCCTTTTAGAGTAAAAAAAAACTAACCAACTCCCACTCTCACCCCACGCATGACTATTTCCCCGCCTCCTTTCTGCCTGTCATTCCACCTTGTGTCAGCCACACCTCCTTCAGTCTTCGCTGGCATTGTGTCTCGGATTGTCACGGCGGACCAATCGCAAAAACAGCAACATTCCTCTGAGCCGCTTCCAACCACTGCAGACCGAGGGAAGTTGCCGTCGCATGTAACGCCAGGGAGGGCGGCAGCCATATTGCTGACCACGGCAGCTGTGCACGCCGGCGCCAGTGGTGGGGCGGTGGTGAATGTTGAGGGGGAGATGATTGCCCTTGTTACCAGGTAAGACTGTTGCAGTGCATTAGTTGTATTTTGAGTCGACTCAAAATACAACTGGATTAGCCTTAGTGCTGACGATGGCAGCACTGCACGTAGGGACCAGTGGTGGGGCAATGGTGAAAGATCCCCCTTGTTACCAGGTAACTATGTCGCAGTGTTGCGAGGTGTGATTAAGCCACAAGGTAATAGTTCAATCTGGAATGAACGAGCTTGTCTGCTCAGTTGACATTTCATTACTCCGCTCTCCGTCTGTCTTCCACATCCTCTTACAAGCCATTAATATTTTCTTCCCTTGCCTTTTTGTTTCTTTTAACCCCTTACCTATCCCCTCCCCTCCCCATCCCGTCCCCCTCCCCCCTCCTCTCCCTTTCCCTACCAGCAACGCCAAGCACAACCGCCACGGCACCATTCTTCCCCACCTCAACTTCTCCATCCCCCTGCCCCTCCTCCTCCCCGTCTTCCACTTCGCTTCGGCTCTCCACTCCTCCCTCCATACCTCCCACCATCCCTCCTTCCACACCTCCCACCAATCCTCCATCCATACCTCCCACCAATCCTCCATCCATACCTCCCACCAATCCTCCATCCATACCTCCCACCAATCCTCCATCCATACCTCCCACCACTCCTCCCTTCCTCCCCCATTCACCCCTGCATGGGCCTATATCGTCCATCCTCTATTCTCCCGCTTTCTTCTTCCCCTCAACACCCCCTCGCCAGCTATTGACTCCCTCTGGTCCCTCGCCCCCTCCTCCCACCTCACTCTCCCCGACATCCCTCGTCCCCCACCATCACTCTCTCGCCTGATCACCCCGCAAGTCCAAGAAAAACGAGCCAGGTTGTGAGCACATCACTCCTCATGCATGTTTCACGGCCCATGTCTTCTCCCCTCTGGCTGGCTGCATGTCGATACTGACCAAACTGCCCAACACCGAAATTCCGGCCAGCTCAACCAGGCGCAACATTCGGAATTCTGAATCGAGCTTTTAATATAGTCATAGGCGAAACCGCGATCATTGACAAGTGGGTTTCTCGTTTTTCAGGGCTACCTGCCTGCATCTTAGATGCACACTTCCTTACCGAACCCAGCTCCCGAAGTCCACTTCCGTTGGGCCCACTTTCAACAATGTCACCTGAGGTACAGTAGTTCGTGCATTCGGGTAACCCTAGTTCGCCAGCCCTTTCTCGAACCCGTGGAAACGCGACGTCGCAAAAACCTTGAGAAAGGCCCGCGGGAACCCGCGATAAGAGTGTGGTACATAGGGAGTGGAAACACCGTTCGAACGGACTTTTCGAAAAGGTTCAACACGATCTCAGAGTAGCAAACTGAACTCAAGCAAGGGCATACAGGGTATTGTACGGTTTGGTATTGTACTCACTAAGAGCACGTGCCCTTCTAGCCTATCACTATACATATACTCCAAGAGCATCACTTGACACACCCCCTATGCTAGATAAGGGGCAGTGCGGCGCAAGAGCCATGCAGCTCAGGGCGGCACTACTAGTCCAACCTCTGAGGCAGGGGTCCGAAGACCAGTCAGCAAGAGTACAGTACAAACTATACAAGAGTAACTCAGGGCGGCACTACTAGTCCTGCCACTGAGACAAGAGCCACAAGACCAGTCAAGATAATATAAGGAGGAGTACACTATTCATGGTCCTAGAAAGTGAGGAGCTACTCGAACTAGGCCAAGCTGTAAGCGGTGGCGCTAATGATCTTTAGGTGCAAGCGCCTTGGTAAAGATATCAGCTGTGTTGGCACCGGAGGCTAAGTGTACTACGCGTGCCTGTCCGCACTGCAGTAGCTCACGCAGGAGGAAGTACCTCAACTGGATGTGCTTCGCTCTGCCCTCTATTCGAGGCTCCTGACACAAGATGATCATGGTCCTGTTGTCAGCGTACAGGACCGGGGCATAGCTAGGCCGCTCACCTAAGTCTGTGAGCAGGAACGTCAGCAGCCGAAGCTCTTGTGCCACTGTGGCACCAGCGTTGATCTCAACCTCACAGCTAGACTGTGCAACAGACGACGAGCGGCTAGACCTCCACGAGATGGCGCCAGTACCAAGGCTAAAGCAGTAGCCCTGGGAGGACCTAAGCGTCTCAGCGTCGTCCGCCCACGAAGCGTCTGTGTGCCTTGTGAGAACCACTGGCCTGCGTCCTCCCAGCACTAGCCCCATGCCTTATGTACTTGCTAGATAACGCAACACCCTCTTAGCAGCCGACGAGTGCTAGGGTCGGTGTCTGCTTGTCGCAACAAAGCGTGCGAGGATACTAAGAGGGTATACGATATCTAGACGAGTGCAAGCCATCAAGTACATGAGGCAACCCACAAGCTCTGCGTACTGACCACTGCGCTCGACGGGCTCGTCAGGGAGAAGAGCTGAGAGACTATGTTCGACTGGCAGAGGGGTGGGCTGTGCACAGGAGAACTGAAGGCCGAACCTCCGAAGGACCTGGCGCACCAAGTGTAACTGTGTAAGAGTGATGGTGCGCGCTGCTCTGTTCCTTGAGATCTACAAGCCAAGGTAGCGGTGCAGTTCTCCTAAGTCAGTGCAGGTGTGTCTCCTCAGCAGCTCAGCCTTCACTAAGGCCAGTGCGTCACTGTCTGCAGTAGCGAAGATTAGGTCGTCTACTTAGACTAGGATATAGAATGGATTATGGACTGAGAGAAAAAAGAGAGACGGGTCAGCAGAACATGGAAAGAATTGGATGTCTGCTAGTATAGCACGCAGCGTGTCGTGCCACTCTAGGGGCGCCTGTCGCAGACCGTAGACCGGGTGCCGGAGAAGCCACAGGGTCCCAAGTGGGAAAGGGCCAGAGAAGCCTGGCAGATGACTCAAGTAAATCTGATCATGCAAGCTCCCCTGGAGGAACGTAGCGGAGAAGTCCAGAGAGTGAACATCGTAGTCGCGTTGTGCTGCTACAAGTAGAAACGCCCGAACAGTGGTTATCTTTGGGGTCGGGGCGAAGGTCTGAAAGAATCCAACGCCCTCGCGCTGACTGAAGCCTATAGCAACGTAGCACGCCTTGAACACCGGCAGCTCTTTCGGAGGGCGCTTCACCTTGAAAAGCCACCGATCATCGACTACGTTCGCCCAAGGTGGGTGAATTACGTCGACGAAGGTGCCGATGGATCTCCATGATGCCATCTCTGCGTCCATGGCAGCTATCCACTGCGAGGCCCAGGGTCCCGAAGTCGCGTCAGCGTAGGTGCGAGAGGTCGGGATGTCAAGGGCGTCTGGGTCACCCTCAAGGGCTAGCAGCATGGAGCAGAGATGAGGAGCAGCCTCAGACAGGATGTTACTGCAAAGGGCAGGTGCATCCCCGGCGGACTGAGGACGGGCAGGGTCAGAGACCAGAGCAGTGGGGTAGTCAAGGCGACGGGTGAAGGCAAAGTCAGCAACGGCGACGACATGAGCATCGAGATTGGAGACGGGAACATACGGGTCGGTAACAAGAGAGGTGATGACACGAGAAACAAGAGGGCGAGCAGCATAGAGGAATTCAGACAAAGGAGGCAAGGAGACAGCGAGAGACAATTGAGGAGGTGACAAGAGAAGAGGAGCAGGAGGAGCCCGAGACACGTGAGAACGGAGAGACATTGGGTGAACACTCGGAGCGAGAGAGACGAGACGAGCACGAGAGGGCTGGCGACTAGCGAGAGAGAGCATATGGTCAGGAGACAATGGAGGAGAGACAGGAGGAGAACGAGGGGGGAAACGAGTCAGGGAGGATTCCGGCGAAGGGAACACGAGGCCGTAGACAGGATGAGGAGGCAGCGCAGTGGGAGGCGCGGGCGGTCGTTCAGGCGAGGGAAGACCGAGGAGGCGAAGGGCGGGCACTGGTAGCGTCTGCTGCAGCTACGCACCCACTCCAAAACCTCAAGCTGCACTACGGCTGCCTCCAGGACTCGCCACGACAGCATCCCCAGGATGAGCACCCCTATGACTAGCACTCCCAGCACCCTCTGGAGCGTTTGCACCTCCAGCGCCAGCACCCTCAGAGCTCCCGGACCCCTACTGATGTGGTGTCGGCTGCTGCAATGGCGACTGCTGCGGCGGCGATTGCTGCTGTTGCGGCGGCAGACGAGACACCGGGGCCAAGGAGGCAGGCGCTGCAGCAACAGGTGGTAGACCCTAAGCCTCAGGGCCCCCAGAGACAGCAGGCTCCTACGTCGGGCCAACCGAGGGAAGGGGATTGACGTGTGACACACCAGACGGGGCAGGACAAGGAGCAGGAGTTACCGGGGGAGTGGGGACAAGGAACAGGGGTGGGGTAACCAGGAGACCTCGGTGGGAAAAGCAGGTGTAGAAGAACACAGACTCATCAAAGGTGACGTCACGCGAATGAAAGAAGCGATGAGATGGCGGGTGGTGAAAGTGCCAGTCAGACGTGTCCAGGGGGAAGCCACGAAATACACAAAGGACGGTGCGTGCAGTGAGCTTGTCCACACAAGAGTCGCGGACGTTAGTGAGGCAACCCCAGATGTGAAACGCAGACTTGTCACCAAGGGACCCGGTCTAAAGAAGGGTTGGCAAAACCTGTGGCTGCTGGGAGTGCGGCCACAGGTTAAGCTGGTGAGCGGCGTAGTGCACTGCGAACGGCCACAGAAAATGGGGTGCACCGGCATGGATCATGGAGGTACGAGCCACCTCCATGACCAAACAGATGCGTCGCTCAACGACCCCATTCTGCTTTGGGGAGTCCGGCGGTGCGTACGTCTGGGTGATGCCCTCCGCACGACAGAAATGGCCAAGCCGACCGGAGGCGAACTCACCGCCACTGATGGAGTGGAGACGGCAGGGCACGGCCCAGGGACGGGGGCAGGGCCCCAGACGTCCAAGTGCAGGGTTTGGAGTGGCCCAGTGGTGGGGAAAATGAGAAGGAGTGAGGAACACGGCGCAGCCGGCGCTCGACACAAGGCGTGCACGAAGGCACGGGCGAGGGAGGGAGGGCAGGGAGCGACGTAGGGAGACCTAGAACAAGACCGTGCTAAGACATGTAACGTAGATGCAGGAGTGCACAGTGACCTAGGCGGTGGTGCCACAGAAGCATGCCCTAAGATTGGTTTTAAGTCATCCTGATTGCAAAGGACTACCTGTGTTTTTTTCCCTGAATTTTCAGAGGTCCCGAATTTTTTTTGCTTAGGGGTCAGGATTGTGTGGGACAAAAATGCTGAATGGACAGAGATAGATGGTTTTTTTTCCTTGATTGACAAAATGAAGAGGAAATTGAGGAGCAAGGAACTTTACTCGAAATTATCAAGATCGTCCACATTGTCACTACTACCTACACCCCACTCTGCCTCTTCTGCTACTACCTTCCCCTTCTTCGAGCCGTCTTGCTTGGCCTGAGGGGTGTTGTTGAAGGGCTTACGCTTCTTGTAAGCGCGCCATATCTCCACCACAGCATCATAGTCCGGGTCATAGTCTAACAGTGACATGCACATGAGGCCACTAAGCCTAGTATCTTTGAGGCTGCCACGCAGCCAGCTCTTAATCACATTCTGCCTAGAGAATCCGCACTCGCACTCCACAGTGCTGAGAGGAAGCACTGCCACCGCCATCCACAGCTTCATCAGGTTCGGGTAAGAATCCTGCCAGTCAGGTGTCTTCAGCATGGCCGTGAGCCCAGCGTGAAAGCTTCGGTCAGCCTGGGGAAGAGCAGCAATGACAGGGCAGAAATGAGGCAGCTCTCTCATGGCTGCACGCTTGTCAATGCCAGGAAGAATCTCCTCCGCCTCATCTGCACGATAAAGAGTAACAAGGGAGAAGAACCAGTCAAGGCACTGGGCCTTGCGTGCAGCTCTCTCCCAGTTAGGGGGCCAGAGGTTGACAGAGAAGAGGCGGCAGCCAGAGAGCTTCCCTAGATCACCCAGCCGCTCCTTCAAGTTCGACACCATGCCTGTCGCCATGGCCACACAGAGCCTCTGGCACGCGTCGTGATCGCCCTCCCCCGGATAACCGGGCAAGCGATCTTCATGCAGCACGAAGGTAAAGGAAGCCGGACGACCGTCGGAGTCAACCCCCTCAGCTGTGACCTCGCGAGAACCGCCCGGGCTGTGACGGGTGAGGAAGATGGTGAGACGGTCCTTCGGTCCCCCGCCGAAGTCTTCGGCGTCCCCGTAGCGGCTCTGCAGCAGGGTTGTTGTGCGGATGATCTGCGCATGGACGGCCGAGTACTCCAGCTGAGGTTGGGGCGGGGAAGAGGGGGAGGGAAGGAAGGGAGAGGAACGTGTATATATACAGAACCAGGGTGGTTTAATAACGACTCATTGTCACAATAAAGAAAACTCACCTGACGCTCCTGGAAGGACTTGTTGAGGATGTTTAGCTGCTCCAGTACGTCAGCAAGGAA